AAGATGACTCTACATGCAAAGTATATAATGGATTGAGGATTAGCCCCATCCAATCCTCCTTCAGACAATATCAATGACACAAAAAACTTAGCAAAGTAAGCAGGAAGCAAAACAGTTGATACTTAAAAATTTGAAACAAAATAGAAGACATCAAAACTTCTAATCATTATAGTTTGGTTTAAAATGAACTTTTTTGGTGCAAGGAAAACTTGAATCATAAGAATAGTTTTAAATAAATAATTCTCAAAAGGTAATTCCTGGAAGAAAGACATTTATAGAGTAAATTTCATTGTCAAAAACTGCTTTCCAACTGATATAATGTGCAGGAAATCATTCCAAATCCAAATTAGAGAGTGAGCAAAATGTATCCCCTGTGTTGGAATTCTAAAAAAAATACATATATGCAAGATGCAGGCTTTTTAATTCTATCTTGTTGTGCTTCTGAGAAAGAAATATGATGAATGGGCTAGCGTATGCAGGCATTTATGCAAGCATTGGAGAGAAAATGGCAGACATATTGTGTGAAGAACACAAGAGAAGGAAGGTTTTCCTCATTCTTCAAAATTTTCTGCACAAGGTAATACACAGATTGATCCAGACCAAAAAAAAAAAAGAAGAAAGCTAATCTACGTCAAAACAGTAAAATATCTGCAACCAGACAAATAACGAGCCAACTTCGACTATGTACAATTAGATCTTAAATCAATAGCACCATATACAGGTTCAAGATTTTCATTTTTGGCATGGATTTACGAGTTAGAACACTCCCTCGAACTGGGAAGCGAAGATAAAACTAAAAAAGGGGAAAAAACAATAAATCAACAGAACAAGAACCGACGGTCCATCAAAACCAAGTTGAATCCGACAAAGAAGAATGAAGATTCGAGGAGCGAAGATAAACCTTGAAAGGGAGGACGGATCTGCTGCACTGCTTCGTTCCCAAAGGGGGGAAGCAACCTGAGGCGAAGGGCTTCGCCCTCCGCTTCTTTTCTCTAGACCGCCGAACGGTTTACAGTTCTGTGTACAACCTGAGGCGAAGGGCTTCGCCCTCCGCTTCTTCTTTTCTTTAGACCGCCGAACGGTTTACAGTTCTGTGTAAAATTACAATCATCACGACCAAAGGAAGTGATCGCGAATGCTTATGGCGAGGGCAGCTGAGGAATAAGGGAGTGGCTAGGGCAGAGCTCAATCGCGAGGGCTGCGGAGGAATAAGGGAGTAACACAACGAAGAAACGTGATTCGCGGGGATCATCCCACGGGCGACGTTATTAACAAAAACGAAACGACGGTTTTTAAAACGCTATAGCAACTTGAAAAACAAACAGTAGGCCGACATTTTCAAAATGCCTCCCGTTGTTTTAAGTTGCCCCAAATGGGCTCTAAGTGGGGTCAGCTACATGAATCCTTTTTCTTCATTGCGTCCTATTTAGTGTCATATTTTCATTTAATTCTAATAAATTAAAATTGTTTTTTATACAATTTGCCCAAGTCATTCTTGGTCAACCTCTGCCTTTCTTAGCATAAGCCGAAAGACATTAGATTAAAACAAAAAAAATCCCTATGTGGTAATGAAAGAAGTCTTCTCCGTGTCGGCCTGATGCATCCTCATCTGGTGGTTGTCGGAGAAAGCATCAAGGAAACTCATCACAGAGTATCTCACCGTGTCGTCCAACATATCAATCCTTGGTAGGGGGTAGGTATTCTTCCGAAAAATGACGTTTAGATTGGTGAAATTGACGCACATTCTCCATTTGTCGTTAGGCTTTCGAACTATTACTACATTCGAGAGCTAGGATGTTGTATCTCCCGAATATAGGCTGCCTGTTTTAGCTTCTGGACCTCCGTGACTATGGACTCTGCCAGAATTCTTGCAGTCGGCTGGAGCTTTTGTTATATCTGTCGAGAGAGCGGATTGATGTTGAGTCGATGGTAGGTGACGTCGATCGGGACTCTGGGCATTTCTGCAGCTGTTCATGTGAGCACATCTCGATGTTGACGACGGGTATCGATCAGTAGATTCCTATGCCCTGCATCAAAATTCTCACTTATTAGAAAAAAAGTTAACTTGTGTCTCCTTCACTGGTTGTGGGCACTTGAAGAACGGTTTCTCTGGTCTTGAGACCTCTTTGTATTTGAATGTTAAGCGGTTCTTGGTCGATACTGGTAACAACCCGAAGATAATAGTTTTTGGACTACTCCAAGTTTCTTTGGACCGTGATTATTTCTCCACCGTCAGGAAACTTTACGACCACATGGTACGTCGATGCTACTGTCTGGTTGCTGCTCAACAATGGCCGGCTGAAGATCGCATTGTAACTCGGTGGCGATTCCACCATCAGAACACTCTATATGTTGGTGAATTACTTTTATCGTTCTCCCTACGAGATAGGCAGCACCATTCTATCTAACATTGTTTTGAATAGAATGATGACTAAGCTCTCGGTGTCGACCAGAATGCCGCCCACTTGGCAGTTGTTGATGAGGGCTGTGACAACGATCGCTTTGTTGTATGGATTTCTCTTCAGTGGGAGATCTGCATCTGTACAAATTATTGGGGGTGAGTGCGAGTGTAAGAGGTGACGAAACATACCTCCCCCGACCTATGTCTCTTCAAACTGGATGGTCGGGTTAATCCTCCACATCCACCTAAAATAGCTAGAATGATCCCAGCCAGGTAGGTGGATTTTGTTCACGTGCACTAGCCCACTCGCAGGCTCCTCTAATTCCTTTGTCGCTGTGATGTACTTCGATAACGATAAACTCCTTCAACTTCGCGGCCTTGATAAGCTCCTTCACCAGATTTTTCAGATGATGACACTCATCCATTTGTGTCCATGGTCTCGATGGTTGATGCAATACTTATTTGAATTGTGCAATATTGGTGTGTCTTCAACAGATGAACCTTTTGTGAAGTAGTCCTTATTTTGAATGGCCCTGACTAATTCAACCATTTACACATTCAAAGGTCTCAAACCTTGCATCTTCTAATATATGTGTGGTCGCTTGAAGTATTGGAACGCCGCTAGTTGGAGGGGCGTCGCTGCTAACCCTGGTTGCCTTAGCTGCACTTCTGGTTGTCCCGGGGCCTCGTATTGCCTTTCAATCATCGGTCAGGGCTCGGTCCTTTGTCCTTCGGTCGTCCTCTCGGTCTTTCCGCTTTTGTGGTCGAGGGGTCGAATGCTCTTGGTTTAATTTCCGAGGACTCCATAAGGTCTTCTTCAGCAACGATGTGATCATTTGCTAATTCTATGACATCCGTGAAGGTTTTTGGCTAAATTTAGCTCATACTTGAATCACTTGCTGCGGATTCCCTGTTTCAGAATGGTTAGGGCGATGCGAGTCTCCAAGTTCTTTACCTCTGGCATTTCCTTTTGAAAGCGAGTGATGTAAGCTCGTAGGCTTTCGCCGCACCCCTGCCTGATTTGAAGCAGGGTTCCTCGATTTTAGTACATTAGTAACGCGTGCCAAGAAGAGCTTCCGAAAATTGAAGAATGATGGGATGACTCCATACATTAGGATATTAAACCATCGGAGCGCGACTTCTTTCAGTGTGCTCAGATACAACCGGCGCTTCATGACATCATCGACCAGCAGGACTCCAACTGTCGACTCAAAAGAGGCGAGGTAATCGGTCGGGTCGCTTTTTTTTTTTATAGGGATCAAAGTGAGGAATCCCGAGCTTTGCTAGGGGTACTGTTTCTAGGATTTTTTGAGAGAATGCGCTACCCATGACCTGCCGAGCGAGCGTTTCTACTTGGTCCGCTCGATACAAGGCCACTGACATAGATGCGACGGTGTCTGCCGGGTGGGAATCTCCTGGTCCTTCCGTTGGCCGGTCACCGGGTCAACCGTGGGGTGCTCGCGATTGTCGAAAGGAGCCCTCTGGGGGCGGGTTCCCCGAGACTCTCACTCAAAGGGCTGCGGTTGGTTGTTCAGGATCATGATCGCCTAAAAAGCCTCAAATTGATCCATTATTTGACTGGACCTCTTCCTGTGTCTCGCCGTATGTCTCCCTATTGAATTCCATTGGCATTGAATTTTTCTGCTGGGATTCTCTTTCGTATTTGGCTCTGCTTCTCGTCTGAGGCATATCCATGTTCACCATACCATCTTTTAGGATGTTGAATCTTAAAGAGTCTTTTGTTAACACGCCTGGACAGTTAAAATCGAACGATGGAGGAAAGAGGAAGTAGAGAGTAAGTCAAGAATTCTCTAGAGAGAAAACAGGGACAGGTCCAGTTATCCGTTACTTTTCCTCCTATTTATAGGGGCATTTTTGTACCATTTCAGAAAAAATGAACAATTATAGAAACCGTTCTTAATATAATTGACACTAATTAATTGTATAGATTTTATATCATATCTGTATTACAACTTGACGGTAATTGTTTGGTTTGCAAGTTTCAATTCGGTTGGTTGAGGCGACCAGCTGAGTGTCGACCGCTTCTTTCGAAGTAAATGTCAGTCGTTTAAGGCGATAGGTCGAATGGCGATCTCGGCCGAATAGCTTGCCATCAAAGTCTCTTGTATGCATCTTGGTCGGCTGAGACTGCAAGTGTGGTCCGCTGATTGAATCTCTCATAATAGTGTTTGTTAATTCTGATCACGTAGTTGCTTGTTAGCCGGTAGGATGCCTCGATTGTTTGACCGCTATCTGGACCGTTCAATTGTTTTTAAAATTTGTGTTGACAGTTTTGATATATACACCATCATTTGTAAAAGCTGCTGAAAATGACTTGCTGCTTTCTGCAATGTTTGGTTAAGCCATATACTCTTTTTATGAAACACTTTTTTTTGGGTATGATGGATTATGGTGGCTTATAAAACATTTTTTTTTGTATGATTGAGTATACCCTTGATCACGGTGACTTTCTTATCAAAGTTGGTTTATTCATTCACTTGTTTAGTCATTTTTTGCTTCTTGCTTTTTTATTTATCTTTTATTTATCATATGAATCAATGCCAACTTGAAATATTTTTGAACTTCATATTTGTAACAGATTCTTGCGCTTAACATCAAATTATGATTGGACCTTCTCTCCATTGATTATTGACCTAAATGAAGATTTTATTCCACAAGATGAATGGGAGATTAATGTGAGTATTATGAAATTTTCTGATTGATCTATGAGTTATTTCTTATAAAAGGTTTCATGACCATGGACTTTAATTATTTCATTTGCAACAGGAGAACTTCTTGTCATGCAGAAAATCTTCTGAAGAGAATATGCAAAATTTGGAAAGAGCAATGTTCTTAGCTACCACATATGACAAGACATCTAAAGCTTGGACTAAATGTTTGCCAAATGTTGAAGTGAGTAATCTGAGCATTGATATAGCATTTTAATTAGCTATGCCAATTTGTGCTAGTTTAACACAAGAGTTTGATACAATTTGACACGATTTTTCACAAAAATGAAACACATTTTTTTGCAAGAATATTAAACGTTCAATGCGAATACAAAGATAAACACCTACAATTCGAGAGGTAGGCGATTTTTCTCAATTCCTATATTTCAAGAGGTAGGAAATCTCTCCCGAATCCTAAACCTCGGACTCACCACAATAATCTCATGCAGAGCCCCAATTGGGTTCTTTTTATAATAAATTATAATAAATGATAAAAAACTCAATTGTTGTTAAGTGCATAAAACACAAAATTACCCTTAGGTTAGGGTTTGTAAAGTGATCTACTGGCGGGGTCTTGAATTACATCTTGATAGCACTCCTCATCCATCTTCTCCTCCAAGCGCCGAAATTGGTTTTCCATGGAATCAAACCTATCTTCTATAGAAGAAAATCTTCTTTCTATGGTGGAGAACTTTTCCTCCATCCAGATTTAATTTAGCTCGTTTCTTTTTCCAATTTCTTCTCTAAATCATCTACCTCTTTTTGTTGTCATCTCACAAGATGATTACCAATCACGAAGGCTTCCACTAACTTGCAAGGAGTTCATGTATGTCGCAATCCCGATCACGTGATTTGGTCACGAGCGGCAGCGGTACATAATTTCTTAAGGATTGAAGTTTTAGGCCCGCACGAAATTACTGAAAGATCAGAGTTTTAGGTCTTTGTATGCCATAGTACTTCGCATCTAAGTAGAATCGATACGAATTCACGCTCGTTCCCAAGGCGTGCGTCTGTACGTCGTGACCCCATCTTTTGCTTCCCAAACAAGTGGAATCGTTATTATATCCGATATTCAGTTCTAAAGGCCTTTGTCTATAAGCCGCGATCCCTTCTTTGGCTTCTAGCTAAGTAATATTGCGACGGTATTGCATTGTATGCCACTATCCTGTCTTTGTAACGCAATATATGCTACGCTTCTGCTGTACTAACCAGTTTTTTAGAAATTGGATAAAATTTTGACGACATAATATGTACCTCATTTTTTTCACCCCTCAGATTTCAATCGAAACAAATTTATAAAATTCTACATGAAAAATACATCAATTTCATGTATAGTATTGTGTGTAAATTATGAGTGAATTGGAAGATATAAAAGTTCGAAGTTATATATTTAATTAACCTAATTAATTCTTAATTAACACACTCTAATCTTTTGCTCTTCTCCCTATTTCTTCTCCTCTCTTCCCCGGTTTTTCTCCCTACTTCTTTCTCGCCCGATAGAAGCAGTGAGGGAGCTGCGACCCTTGCTAAAGTGCAAGGGCCGCAGGTAGCAGGCGGGCTGAGTGGCATAGAGGAAGCCATTGGATGCGATTTAGCGCTCTGGGATAATTTTTGTAAGTGTGGATTTCTTTTTCATGACATTTGAGGCAATCCTTTTCTTCCTCACACTTTCATTGAGTATTTCCTCATTTTTCGTGCCCTTTTTCTTTCCTGTAGCCTTCGGAGGCGTCAATTTTGTGTTGGAAGTGTCAAAATTCTTTTGCAAGCTTTCATAAGGGTTCTTACACGATATCAATGTAGGAGAAGTGTGGTTGGAGGTGATAGAATATAAATTTGACAGCTTTGGAGAAGGATTGGTTTTAGCAAATCATTTATATTTTTGGTTAAATTATTTTATTAGCAATAATATTTTTAAATCCTAAACTAACTGTGGTTCCAGGTTTTTTGGTCGGAGTGGTAGACTCTATGTGAGAGTATTGACTTTCACTGTACCCTGTAAATTTCAGGAAAATTAATCCTAAGTTAAGAAAAATAATTTGATTAATAGAAATAGTTTAATTCTTAAAAAATTAAATATCATGCTTTATATGTTACTAAGCTCAATTTAAAAGTCACCGCACACTCAGCTAACTGTCAAAGATTAAGGGTGTGTTTGGAATAGCTTATTTGCTGCGGCGGCATTTTGAAAACGCACGCCGCCGTACCGTTTGTTTTGTGATCCTTAATAGACGCGAACGCGGGATCGACCCCACATCCGATGTCTTCAATTCGCGTTCGGGTAAAATTTTACTCCCGTGCCCTTCTCCTCTCCCTCTCCTCCCTCGCCGATCTCCCCATCTCGAGCTCGCTAAGAGGATGTTTCGATTCGCCGATCTCCCGATATCGTTCACGTTGATGTTTTGTCGGCGGCGCCAGCCGCAGTCACCGGGCTTTTTCCATTTGATGGAAATGATCAAGGTTTTCCAAGCGGTAGGATGCTCATTAATCATCTTCTCAAAAACTTTCTCAGCACCCAGGTTTCCCCCAAGCCTCTATTGTCGCAGAGCAGTCCTGCGATCTCCTTCAAGGTAGCTTCAGACTTTTTCTTAGGTAGAGCCGTCAGGTTGATTCTGTAGCTATTGGCGATAAGAAGAGATGTAGAGCCTTCAGGTTTGCTGAAATTTGTTTTAAAACTTTCTCTATCTCCTTTTCCTTTTTTATGTTGTATTCCTTGGGTGTAACCCCTGGACAGATGCGTATTCAGCAATCACTAATAATAACTTTTCTGAAGTGCTATACACATTTTCTTACATTTGTTATGATGTGGTTTTGGCTTTGATATGATTTGAGAAGGCTTTGATATAATTTGAGAAGGTGCATTTCACGTATTTGAGAAGGTGTATTTCACCTTTTAATATATAAATAGTGCTTTTTTTATGTGATACGAAAGATTTGAAGGATATAAATGAAGAATGAAAACTATTCGTGTCAGATATGTAATTTCATAAGAATTGGGTGGTATATCATGATATATGTTACTTAAATTTTTGTATAATTCCACATTTACTATACGGTTTGGATGCTTATCTTCTTCTAATTTATCTACTTGTATCTTACAAACCATCCTGTTTGCAACCTTTAAAGTGGATCCAATGAGATTAGTGCCCAGGTATAGTTATCCATATTTATATTTCATATTATGAAATATCTTCTTCTTGTTTTGCAGCTATTAATGGCAGTCCTTTTTAAATCTATGAAAAAGGATATGATCATTCTTCCTCGCATGTAAATCTTTTATCTATACATTGTCGCATCAAACTTGTGTATCTACTGAGAGTAACAGACACGTAAGAAATTAAAGAATTTGGAAGATACTGATGATTCAATTAACTGCAGAAATTGCAGTGTATAGTTAAATATAAGTGGTTTTATGCATAACAAATAGTTTCCACAGGCATATTGCTTCAATATCATGATGAGTTGGGTAAGTTATTAGTTGGCATTTGAATTAATTTTTTCTTTCTTAAGTCCAAAATCATGTAATTTAAATATTTTGAAGGCCTCAATTAAGAACACATCATCTGTTATTGTTCTGATTAATGCTCTTTAGATAATGCTCCCCTATGCTCTTTAGATAATGCCTCGTTAGATTTGTATGAATTGTTATTTATTGATGTTAGATATGTAAATATGTAAAATTTGCTGGTATGTATGCAAATGCTTCTAGACATTTTTGTATGCCTCAATTTGTCCGGGCTTTTTTTAGGTACAAATTTAATTTTTTTTGGATAATTAAATAAAATTGTTGAAATTATCAAAATTTTGTGCTGTTATGAAATAATATTTTTTGTTCTGAAATGTCAAATGTTTAGTCGTTAAATTTTTAGTGTAAATAACAACACTGCGTATGTCAGAATGATCTTTTATCCATAAAAAACTGCAAATAAGTTGTTTTTCAAACGCACAAACCGAACAGCTAAACAACTTATCCAGAACAGAGACGAAATTTTTCATTTATCTAGAATTAGCTATTTTCGAAACACACAAACCAAACAGCCAGCCAGCTTTTCAGGATAAGCTGTTGATCAACAAATTATCAGGATAAGTTACTTATCTGGATAGGTTAGATAAGCTGCAGCTGTCCCAAACTCTTATCCAACTTATTTGGATAAGCTGGATAAGATTTTAGCGTGATATTTGAGGTGAGTAATGTAAGATAAATATGTAAGATAAACATGTAGTAAAGATATGAATAAGATAGGTATATAAATCATATAAAAGACATGCTTGATGAATAGTTGTACAACAGAATAAATATTCATTTTAGTAGATATATAAAGATGTCTCAGAATAATTTATATATAAAGAATGAAATAACATATATGTGAATGTTTACATGTGTATGTTCAGAGGAGGATTTCACTCTTTAATGGTACAGACAGATGTCGCCAATGTATCCGCGCGCGTAGAGTTTTCTACCACCCTAGACAATTGTGATGTTTGGATATTAACCGTTGTGTCAATGTGATAATATCGAACAGAGACGAGTAGATCAGAGCTTACATTTCCTAAAAATTGTGATGTTTATATTGTTAACCGCTGTGCCGACGGGATAATTTCCTTCTAGGGGCAGGTAAGGGTCTTTTCACCCAAGACAATTGTGATGTTTAGATCGCTAACTACTATACTGACGGGAGCCAACGAAGTAACATCAGTCAAAGTAAATGCTTATAGAAGATTGAAGGGAGCCAACGAAGTAACATCAGTCAAAGTAAATGTTTATAGAAGATTGAGTATGTATGTAAAGTATAAAGTAAAAGTAAATGCTTATAGAAGATTAAGTATGTTCATTTAGAAAAGATCATTGATGCATGCATTAACATTTATCAGATTGCTTATAAAATTATAAAAAAACTAGCATATTATAAGATTTTTTGTAGACTAGCATACATATTATATTTTTTTCCTTGTATTGCTCTAGCTTAGAAGTTTGATTACTCATGGTTTATCTTTAGATAGCTCATTATGTCACTTCAACATTATTTTTAAGTTATAAACATTTGAACATGATAAATAAATGAGCAAATGTGTATAGAATATGAGAACAGTAAGCAGAAAGGTACAAACTTTCACATATTAATTTTAATTATTTTCTTTAGTGATTCTTTCATGTATTATTTAAGTATTAAATTGTTAATAACGGAA